TCACCTTCAGGGCGAGCGGTGGTCCAGCTGTGCCAGGAACCGGCATGGCAATGCCATTCCTCAATGACCACACACCTGGGCTCCCCAAGACATGGCGCAGGACGCCCGTTTCCGCATGTTTCGCATTCAACTGGCCAAGGAGGGGGCGCAGGTTGGCATTGCCCAGGGCCTGAACGTGGTGGCCATCACGGCCATAAACCCTGCCTAAACCTTGGCCCCGACGCCCAATGCGAGTGTATGATGTCTGAACCTAATCATAGCCAGGCCGGTGGACGGGTTAACTGGCTGGCCTCCATGGCCCAGGATGTGCACAAGGGCCGCCACTCCGAAGTCGACTTCATGAACGGCCTGATCTGCCGCAAGGGCATTGAGACGGGCATCCCCACACCCTTCCACGATGCCATTGTTGACGCCATGCACGGCATAGACGACGGCTCCCTGAAGCCCGACCCCGCCAACGTGGACATCATTATGCGAGCCGTGGGGATGTAGGGAACAGCGCAGACAGAGGCGGGATTGACGCCAATCCCGCCTCTAAGATTGAATCCGCCTAATGTCGGCTGAAGGTCGCACTCCATAGATTTGCCTTCCCCACTAGCCTCTACTAACGGAGGTAGCACCCATGTTCATCAAGGTGAAACCGGAAGGAAGCCTCAAGAGGACCGCCATCTGTCGCATATTATCCGGGGTTTTTCTTTATGTACACGTGTGTCAAGCTGATATTTGATCCGGCGCGCCCCGACTCGAGGACCATGGTTGTGCGGGACTACCTGACGGCGAATCCTCGACCACGAACTGGAGCCCCGCTACCAGTATGAAATTGAAGAGGACTGGAGACCCCTTTGCGATGTACTTCTTCGTGGCTGCTACCAGGGGGGGGGTGCTTGCCTCCACTTGCAGACTGTAGGGCAATACATGGCGGCACGGGCAGGTGGAGGTGGATTTGCTGACGGCGCCGAGGTGAGGCCCCGATTTGTCAGCTCTTTGAGTTTTTTTGCCTCAACGTGGCAGAGGTCCAATTCCGGCAGGCGACTGGTTGCCACTCGGCAGGAAACGGTGTTGAAGCCTGGTACCTTAACTGCACCAGAGGTCGGCGTTCCAAGCACGCACGAGCAACGGGGAGTCTGGTGGCCACCCTGAACCGGGGATCTAGGTCATGGCGGGCGGCAGACACGAGTGGAAGGAGAGGAGTCGGAAGATTCACACGATGAGAGCTAGTTTCACAGCAGACTGACGCTACCCCCTGCCACTCCTTCTACCACACCTACTACCTGTGCGTTAGCCGACGTTCCCAGCGGCATGACTTCCCAGTTGCGATATGCCCTTCGCAGGCGGTAGCTTGTAGCCCTTTGTGTTGCGATCGCATTCAGGGCGGTGGCGGTTCAGTGCTGGCCCTTCGAGTACGAACTCCACTGCTGAAAGCCTGGGCAGTTCCGTGGGCGCGGGTCATCGTGACGCGGGCACCGCCTTGCGGTTAGACCTTCCCACTTCAGAGGCCATGTCTGGGTACTCGCCCGCCGCTTTTTCTCGCTTATTTTGTCCTCGTCTTTTCCCTCCTTTTCTTTTTTTCCGTTTTTCTTGGTTTGTATTTTCCCTTTTTTTCTTTTTTCTTTTTTTTCCGCTGCCGTTCGGCCTGGCTGCCCAGGTCAAAGGCCGTCACCACATCGTCCAGGGCATCCACGTCAAAGTAGCGGCCGAAGACCCGCAAGACGGCCCGCTTGGTCAGGTCCTCCATCACCCGGTCCTCGCGTCCTTCCTCGAAAGTCTCCAGCTCAATTTTTCCCGCGCCGAAGGAAGCGGAGATGTAGGGCAGGTCACTGATGCGAGGGCAGGTAACCGTGTCTCCCGCCTTGATGGCGCGGCGCACGGCGTTGCTGATCAGGGTCTCGTAGTTGGCGATGGAGACGCGGACGCTAACACCGGAGCGCTGGTTGATCTCATTGCTGGTGCGGGCCTGGGCGGTAATCTCGGCAAGGATTTCCTTTATATATTGAGGAATGACCAGGTTCTCCTCGTCAAAGAAGCGGGCGCGCTCCTGGTCCATGATGGTGATCTCTTCCTCGATATGGCGCGGGTAGTGGGTATGAATCTGGGAGCCGTAGCGGTCTTTGAGAGGAGTGACGATGCGGCCGCGGTTGGTGTAGTCCTCGGGGTTGGCGGTGGCCACTACGTACACGTCCAAGGGCAGGCGGATGCGGTAGCCCTTGATCTGGACGTCGCGCTCCTCCATCAGGTTGAAGAGGCCCACCTGGATGCGCTCGGCGAGGTCGGGCAGTTCATTGATGGAGAAAATACCCCGGTTGGTGCGGGGCACCAGGCCGTAATGGATGGCAAGTTCGTCGGAGAGATGGCGACCCTCGGCGACCTTGATGGGGTCGATCTCGCCAATGAGGTCGGCTATCGAGATGTCGGGAGTGGCCAGCTTCTCGGAGTAGCGGTCCTCGCGGCCGATCCAGTCAATGGCGGTATCATCGCCGGACTGGGCCACCTGGTCGCGGCAGGCCTGGCAAATGGGGTTGAATGGGTCGTCGTTAATCTCGCAGCCGGCAACCTTGGGGACGGCCTCATCCAGCAGGTTGACGAGGCTGCGGATGAGGCGGGACTTGGCCTGGCCGCGCTCACCGAGCAGGATTACATCCTGACCGGCCAGAAGGGCGTTTTCAAGCTGGGGTATGACGGTGTCCTCGAAGCCGATGATGCCGGGGAAGACGATCTCCTCGGCACGCATCTTGGCTACCAGGTTGTTGCGCATCTCCTCGCGGACGGGAAGCACCCGATAGCCGCTGTCGCGAAGATCACCGATGGTCTGGGGCCGGTTGGCGCCTGGCTGGGTAGTCGAGGTCATCGTATCCCTCCGTAGTCAAATGCTATGACTGGTAGCTACAAAAGCGATAAGGCAGTATAGCACAGGGAGGGGGTGGGGTCAGGAATCCAAGGCGATGCTGAGCGAGGTTCCGACAGCCCTCGGTCATGGCCCTTTTTAATGAGTAAAAGGGGCGTAATTTTTTGTTTTCCCTCCATTTCCGCTCATTTCCCCCATTTCTTAACTGCGGTTTGCCCTTACCCACGGACGAAGGACAGCAACAAGGGTTGCCTCTACGGCAGGGGTGGAACGCCCTCACCTCCGGCCCTCTCCCTGAGGTAGCGGGGAGAGGGGCGAGGTTCCGACAGCCCTTGGCCACGGCCCTTTTTAATGCGTAAGCGGGGCATAATTTTTTTGTTTTCCCTCCATTCCGCTCATTTTCCCCCATTTCTTATCTGCGGTTTGCCCTTACCCACGAGCGAAGGACAGCCACAAGGGTTGCCTCTACGGCAGGGGTGGAACGGCCCTCACCCCCGGCCCTCTCCCTGAGATAGAGGAGAGAGGAGCGAGGTTCCTACAGCCTTCGGCCACGGCCGTTTTTAATGCGTAAGCGGGGCGTAATTTTTTTTGTTTTCCCTCCATTTCCGCTCATTTTCCCCCATTTTTTATCTGCGGTTTGCCCTTACCCACGAGCGAAGGACAGCCACAAGGGTTGCCTCTATGGCAGGGGTGGAACGCCCTTACCCCCGGCCTCTTTCCCTGATGGATAGGAGAGAGGAGCGAGGTTCCTACAGTCCTCGGCCCCGGCCCTTTTTAAAGAGCAAGCGGGGCATATTTTTTTGTTTTCCCTCCATTTCCGCTCATTTCCCCCCATTTCTTATCTGCGGTTTGCCCCAAACCCTACGGTAGGAAGGAAGGGCCAAGGTTTTTGTTTTCGCGCCATTTTGGCCCGTTTTAACCTGTTCTTTGTTAAAACGGCAGGGCGTCAATCGGCAAGCTCAGGAAGGGCGGGTCGGGGAAGGAGACGATTGCAGGGTGCCGCGAGATTATGTTAGGGATGGGTCATCCAAGGTGGCAAGAGGTGGGTGTCAGTGGTTGTTTATCCACTAAGGGGCACGAATTTTCACTAATGGGGTGACAGAGGGAAGTGGGCCTGGCTTAAGGTTGTTTTCAGATTTGAAACTTGAGGAGCGATTTCAGCGCGTAGTAGGTATCATTCCACTGGACGACCTCGGATGCTTGGCGGATTGCCTCCAGTTGTACCAAGGTCGCCATTTTTTCGCTGGGCATTTCGTAGCGCATTTCAAAAACGCGCAACTCTTCCTGACGCTCCCTGATTATCTGTTCCTGACGGAGAACCCTGACCAGTATTCTTTGCCTGGTAGAAGCCATGAAGCTTCTCATTCAGAATCAGGTTAATCGAACGGGTGGGGGTTCAAGTGTGGGGTGACAGTAATAATCCTCAAGAATTCGGCATTTAACTGGTGGAGCACCAACTTTGCTGGAGCATTCCTAAAACTTGGCCACTTCTGGATTCCGGCCTTCGCCGGAATGACGGTTAGGTGGGCTACTTAACTTGCATCGAGCCCCACTAATACCCAGCCCTACCCAACCCCTCTCCCCCGGTCTATAATCAATGGCAAGACACTTCTACGTCTGCCTTTCTTATTGGGGGCCGCTATGTCCCGATTGTTTATTCCCGTTTTGCTGATGTTGTTGCCCCGGATTTTGCCCACCATCATCCGGTACGTTCTGCTGGTCTGGCGGCTTACCTTCGACAAACGGGTGAACATTATCATCCGTTCGCTGGTGCCCCTGGGCCTGGTGTACCTGCTGTGGCCTTTTGACCTGATCAAGGATAACATCCCCATCATCGGGCGGTTGGACGACGTGATAATCCTGGGGATGTCGGTGCTGTTCCTGGTGAAGCTGGCGCCGCAGCACGTAGTGGACGAACACCTGGGTCGGGCGGCACCCTCGGATCGACCCGAGGACAAGGACCCGTCGCAGGTGGTGGACGGCAAGGCCCGCTTTGTTGACGACGACCCTAGTTCCTGATGGCTCGACAGGCTCACTATGAGCGGGGTTCTGAAGACCGGATGACAAGCGACGTGGCAGTCCTGCAGGACACGGGCATTTCCCTTTACATCCACGTTCCCTTCTGCCAGACCAAGTGTCCCTACTGCGACTTCAACACGTACCAGGGCATCGAGGGCCTGATGTCTCCCTTTTTGGAGGCGCTGGTGGCGGAGATTGCCGCGTGGGGACGGTCACTGGGAGGACCGCCGGTGAACACGGTGTTTTTCGGCGGCGGGACACCCTCCTACCTGCCCGACGGGTCGCTGGGGGAAATCATGGCGGCGGTTGGCGGGAGTTTCCAGCTTCGGGACGACGCGGAGATTACCGTGGAGGCCAACCCTGGGGACCTTACTCCGGCCAAGGCGGCAAGCCTGCTGGGGCAAGGGATCAACCGGGTAAGCATCGGTGTGCAGTCACTGGACAACGACCTGCTGAATCTGCTGGGGCGCCGCCACGACGCCGACGGCGCCATTGCCGCTTTCCGCACGGTCAGCGAGGCGGGGTTTGACAACGTCAACCTGGACCTGATCTATGGCCTGCCGCGACAGACGCTGGGACAGTGGCAGGACACGCTGCAACGACTGGCAGAACTGGAGCCGACGCATATTTCGCTGTACTGCCTGACGGTGGAGGAGGGTACGCCGCTGCACCGCTGGGTGGAGCAGGGGCAGGTGCCGCGCCCCGACGCGGACCTGGCAGCGGATATGTACCAGTACGCCCGGGATATTCTGGGAGAACGAGGCTACCACCACTACGAGATATCGAACTGGTCGAAGCCGGGGCTGCCGTCGCGGCACAACCTGGCCTACTGGCGGAACGTGCCCTACCTGGGAGTGGGCCCCGGAGCCCATTCCTGCCTGGTGGGCTACCGGTTCTGGGACATGGACTCGCCGCGGGGGTACATCGCAGCGGCAAATGAGTGGGCCGGCAAGGTGGGTTCGACGGTTGATGCAATAACGGGAGAGTGGCTGGAATTGGTGGGGCCCGTGGGTGGGCATGAGCCGATAGATGCTGACCTGGCGGCGGCGGAGACGATGTTCCTGGGGCTGCGACTGCTGGACGGGCTGGACCTGGCCGAGGCGTCGGGACAGATGGGAGTGAACCTGGGAGAGCGTTACCGGTCCCAGATTGATGATCTGCTCAGGTTGGGGCTGCTGGAACAGGAGGATACGGTAATCCGGCTGCACCCTTCGGCCTACCTGATTGCCAACCAGGTATTCACCCGATTCCTGGACTGAGCGTCCTGGCCCCTTATTTGCCCCATTTAACTCTCCCCCCAGTTCGACGCCGCTTCGACGAATAGCCATCAATCAGCTTGCCAACCCTTAACATAACCTTTAGCCTATATATCTGGGCCCGTTCACACGGGCAGCAAATTACCAGTTGGAGAGTTACCTGATTTGCACCTACTTAATCGCCTCAAGAATCCCCTTACCAGTCGACCAGCATTGCCCACCCTGAAAAGAGCACTTTTAGTCACTTTCCTTAGTCTGTTTACCGTCATGCTGCTGGCCGCATGCGGAAGTGAGCCCGAGCCGACCGTGGCTCCGACACAAGCTCCGGCGCCGGAAGCGGGACCCACGCCCAACATCCAGGCCACCATAGACGCAGCGGTGGCATCGGCCATCAGCAGCCAGGCAGGCCAGCAGCCGGAAGCCCCTGCTGAAGAGGCTACCGAGGAACCTGCGGAGGAGCCCACAGAGGAACCCACCGAAGAGCCGATGGAAGAGCCTACCGCAGAACCGGAGCCTACTGCCACGCCCGAGCCGCAGCCGACACCCACACAGCGACCGACGCCCACCGCGGCGCCAACGGCTGTTCCGGAGCCGACCGCTATGCCGGAACCGGAGGCCACGCCAACACCGGCGCCGCTGCCGACGGCCGTGCCGACGCCGGTACCGGCAGCTACGGCCACTCCGAGGCCCACGCCGATGCCGCCTACTCCGGTGCCTACACCGGCGCCCGTTACCATTACGAAAATTGACAGCAACGGGGCCCATAACTGCGTCCTGTTTTCGGATGGGTCGGTGGACTGCTGGGGCAGCGACATCAACCAGCAGTTGAGCGTGCCGGTGGGTGTCACTTTCCTGGATATCAGCGCCGGAAGCTCGTTCACCTGCGGCATCCAGGGTGATGCGGGCAGGGAAAACCGGGCGTTCTGCTGGGGCAAGGACCTGTTGGGTACGCTGCAGGTTGACCGGAGCCTGAGCTTGAAGTCCATCAGCGCCGGGGGGCAGCACGTCTGCGGGATTCAGTTGGACGACACTGCCGTGTGCTGGGGCAACAATAATCACGGTCAAATCGAAGCGCCCAAGGTGCAGACATTTGCTGAGGTAACCAGCGGCGGCGACTTCAGCTGCGGACTGAGGAACGACGGCACGGTCCATTGCTGGGGCGCCAATAACAACGGTCAACGCAACGTGCCAGAAGGGGAACAGTTCGTCAAGATTGATGCCGGAGACAAGCACGTCTGCGGTTTGCAGACCCTGGGAACCGTTGTCTGTTGGGGTAACATCTTGTCGGAGCCGCCCGTGGAAGAGGGGTTTGTGGATATCGGATCGGGAATGCAATTCGCCTGCGGCGTAATGGCGGACAGCACCGTCGCCTGCTGGGGTCGGGATGCTGAGCGCGATCTGGAGCCGCCCGACCGGAGTGGGTTTGTGATCATCAGCGGCGGTGATCAGCATACCTGCGCGGTACGGACCGATGGGGTGGTAGTCTGCTGGGGAGGGTCGAGATACCTGGGGGCGACCAACCCGCCGGAGTATCTGGAGAAGCCACGGTACTAAAAACCGGGGCGAGACGGAGAACGAATGTAACCGGGGAGGGTTTGATGCCCTCCCCTTTCTATTTCAAGGGCCAGGTTGCGTGGGAGTGTCAGATTTGAGCGCCAGACCTTTGACGGCCGTTAGCGCTTGGGGCCATCGTCAGGGACCAGGGTCTATTCTTCGTGGATGGCGCTCATATGGGATCCTGGATTTTAAGAGTCGAGGTTGCTGCCTTCGAAGACTTTGCATGACCCATTGGATGGGCACTTGTTTGGGACCAAGACGGTTTTGAGCCAAGCTATCTCCCAGTCTTTTTGGATTCCTGCCTTCGCAGGAATGACGTTGGGGAGCTGCAGGAATGAAGATGGGGAGCTAAAGGGCGTCAGCTATGGGATGTGCACCGTCACCCCCATCCTAGCCTTCCCCCGTTGATGGGGAAGGGACTTGTTAAGATTCCTTAAGACTGTCGTCCTGGGGCCGCCTCTTGATTGGAACCGCTCTTCCCGGGCTTGTCGAAATCCCCGCGTATAACGGGGTGTCCTTCGACAGGCTCAGGATGAGCGGTTTCTTTTTTGGGCGTACTTTGAAGGGCTCAGGGTTCCATGATTCGTGGATCAGAGAGATGAGACGTGTCGGACGGTTTGAATCGACTAACTGTAGCCATTAGGGGCCATACCTGGGCAGTTCCGTATGTACTCCTGGCCGCACTAGCGCATTGCGGCTTTGGCGGCGGCTTTGGCGGCTTTGGCGGCGGCGGCTTTGGCCTTTTGTTCGCGGCGGGCCAGGGTGCGGCGGATGTAGTCGGTGGCGTCGGGAGTTTTGCAGCCGGTCTGGCCGTGGTCGACTTCCACCTTGCCGAGGTGGGCGGCGGCGGCGAGAGCCTGCTCTTCCAGGGCATCGTTGCGGATGCCGATGGCAATCAGGGCGTTGTTCATGGCATCCCTGACCCGGTTCTTGCGGACGTGGATTTCGCCTTCGATGGTTGCCAGGCAGGCAGTGAAATAGTCATCAGGGAGGTCCTGGTTCTTCAACGCCAAGTGGGCTACCAGGTGCCAGCCGGCGCGTCCTGGCCATTCACCATCGGAAGGGCACCAATGCTCGGCCTTGTCGAAAGCCAGGGACGTCTTGCCCACAAAGCTGGAAAAGGTGTCGGTAAGCACGTAGTTGTCCAACTCGTCGGCCCAAGCCTCCAGCAGCGAATCACTCGTCTGGGCCGGGTCGGCGACCATAGCGGCCAGCACCCGAGCGTCGTGGTTGCCAGTGGCCCAAAGCTGGAGGGCCAAGTCCTGGTCACGCTTGATGGCCTTGGCCAGCTTGTTCTGGTTGGCATAGCTTACGCCGAACATGTGATCGCCGACGCCGTGGCGGCCGTAGATCTTGCGATTCTGGGCGGTGCCGAAGGATTCCAGTTGTTGCATTGCTTCTTGAAGGTTCATCTCAACCCCTTGACGACAATACGCAGATTCAAGTGGATTCCAATATACCCATCCGGGTGAGGAGATGCCAAGGTAATCGCTTCATGTTTATGCCTGAAGCCCAAACTCACGGTTTCGCCGCCTGGATTTTGTCGAGTGGCCCACTCTACAACTGCGTTCCCTACATTTGGCACTCTTAGTAAGTCTTACATGTGACTCTTTAGATTCTTCGGATTCGCTGGGAATAGCTGAGATTTCAGGCGCGAGTACCTCGCCTTTTGCATTCCTCTATTCCGACCCACCCTTTGGTGCTATGCTTTATCTATCAAGGAAGAAAGTTATGAGCGCGTCCAACATTCAGTCGGTTTACATTGTGCAGGACGACGGGATTTGCGGGGGGCACCCCCGCATTGCTGGCTCACGCATCAAAGTTCAGCATATAGTCATTGAGTACGTGCATGGCGGCTTGAGTGCTGAGGAGATTTGCAAGTCTCTTCCACCCCTCACTCCCGCTCAAGTTCATGCCGCTCTGTCCTTCTACTACGATCACCAGGATGAAATCGAGCAGACCATTGAGGACGACCAGGAAATCGCTGAACAGATGGAGGCAGGGCTGATTTAATGCCCTTGTCCCTGCTCTGCGATGAACACATTCCCTTCGAAGTTGTAAATGGTTTGGCCAATCAAGGTTTGGATGTAGTTACCGTTCAGGACCTAAACCTGCGGGCTACGGTCGACCCCGACATTATGAGTGTCGTCCGGCAAGAAGGGCTAGTAATTTACACGAACGACACCGACTTTCTTCGATTGAGCAACTCGGGAGTTCCCCATCCCGGAATCCTCTACCATCACCCGCAAAAGTTCTCTCCCAACACGGCAATCAACATAGTAGGGACGGCCTGCCAGGTACTGGATATGGAAGAAATGCCCAATCGTGTACAATTCCTTTAGCTACGAATGATTAGCTACAAATAAGAGGTTGCCCCATATGTACGTTATTGGCACCGCCGGACATGTTGACCACGGTAAGTCCACTCTGGTCAAAGCCCTCACCAACATTGACCCGGACCGTCTCCCGGAGGAAAAGGAAAGGGAGATGACGGTTGACCTGGGCTTTGCCTGGATGACCCTGCCCAGCGGCCGCGAAGTCAGCATCGTGGACGTGCCAGGTCACGAGCGGTTGATCAAGAACATGCTGGCCGGGGTAGGAGCCATTGACCTGGCCATGCTGATTGTGGCCGCCGACGAAAGCGTGATGCAGCAGACCCGGGAGCACCTGGCTATCCTGGACATACTGCAAATCAAGCGGGGCCTGATAGTAATCACCAAGACAGACCTGGTGGACGAGGAGCTGGTTGAACTGGTCAAGGCGGAGGTCGAGGACGTGGTGGCCGGAACATCTTTTGAGGACGCCACCATGATTGGCGTGTCGTCCTACACTGGGGCCGGCTTGGATGAATTAAAAGACACCATTGACGAAATTCTGGACCAGACCGGGGCGCGGCGGGACCTCGGACGGCCCCGCCTGCCAGTGGACCGGTGCTTCTCCATTTCCGGGTTTGGCACCGTGGTAACCGGTACGCTGGTCGACGGGGTTTTTGCCGTGGGACAGGAAGTGGAACTGGCGCCTTCGGGGATGCGGGGCCGCATTCGCGGACTGCAAAGCCACAAAGAACGGGTAGGCAGCAGCGATCCTGGGGTCCGGTTGGCGGTTAACTTGTCGGGCGTTGCCCGAACCGACATAGAGCGGGGTGAGGTGGTTACACTGCCCGGCTGGCTACCCTCCACCCGACGCCTGGACGCCAGGATGCGGATGGTGGCCGGGGCGCCCCACCCCCTGCGCCACAATTCCGGCGTTACCTTCCACCTCTTTACCAGCGAGACCACGGCCCGGGTACGGCTGCTGGACGCGGACCGGTTGGCCCCCAACGAGGAGGGCTGGATCCAGATATTGCTGGATGACCCAATCCCGATGGTCAAGGGCGACTATTATGTACTGCGTTCTGCCGAAGATACTTTGGGCGGCGGACAGGTGGTGGACCCGAGCCCCCGGCGCCGGCACCGGCGCTTTGTTCCCGAGACCATTGAGCAGCTAATGATGCTGGACCAGGGCACCGGGGAGGACATCATCTATAGCGTGGCCGACCAGAGCGGGCCCTGCGACCTGCGAACCCTGTCGCAACGGTCCAACCTGTCCTCGGAAGATGCGGTGGAACGGGCCCTTCAGTTGGCTGAGGCGGGGGACCTGGTGGTTCTGGGCAACCTGGGGACGGAGAACGATGCCGTGGTCTATTCGTCGCAGGGGTGGGACATCTTCAAAAGCAAGGTGCGGGTGGACCTGCAGACTTACCACAACAACTATCCGCTGCGAAGAGGGGCGCCCACCCAGGAAACTCGCAGCCGTACCGGGCTGGCCCAGGGGGTGTACCTGAGGGCGCTGGCCCGCCTGGTGGAGGAGGGTTGCCTGGTGGAGGATGGCCAGCAACTTCGCCTCCCCGACCACGAGGTTACGCTGACCCCGGAACTGGAGAAACGGGCCAATGATTACCTGCAATCCCTGGAGCGCGAGCCCTATTCGCCGCCCACCGAGCGTCATCCGGAGCCTGAACTGCTGGGCTTTCTGATTGACGAGGGCAAGGTGGTGAGGGTGAACGAGTCGGTGGTGTTCGCGGCCTCGGCCTACCGTGAACTAACCGACCGGATAGTGGCCCACCTGAACGAGAACGGGTCGATAACGGTAGCGGACGTCCGGACCCTGTTCGATACCAGCCGCAAGTACAGCCTGCCCCTGCTGGAGTATCTGGACCAGCAGCGGATTACGAGGCGGGTGGGGGATGAGCGGGTTTTGCGGTGACGGGGGTTACTATGTGATGATATGTACATCGCTATACGTCTTATAAGGTAGACATCAGCAATGCTATATTCCCCGGAGTTTGCAATCCTATGCTTGAATCCGGGGGCTGTAGCTTTGTTGGTATTTATAGACGAGAGTGGGACTCCTCATCCTAACGACGGATGCTCCAGACCGTTAATTCTCGCTGTCTGCATTTCCGAGTCGGACGTTAGATACGTTACGGGGCGAATCTATAGTTTAAAGAGGCAGATTCTTGGAAACGAAGATGCAGAGATAAAAGCCAACAAACTGCTAAACAGATCAACATTCCGCCGTATTCCAGATAAGCGAGAATTCGTAGAAGCCTTCTTTGATATCTTGAGGGATATGCCCATAACCATGTTTGCGATGATTATGGAGCGCCCTTTAGTGGTACCACCTTTGACTCCTATACTGCCCAGCCAGTTCAGGTTTCTCCTTGAGAGGATAAATCTGTTTTCTGAAAGCCGAAACGAAATGGCTACGATACTTTTCGATGGGGACGGCAAAAGTCAATATGGGGGGTTGGCCGTTAAATTCAGCAATTATCTGCATAGATCAGTAGAAGGAAGGTCATATTCTCGCATAACTGACTCACCCTTTTTCGTGGACTCCAAGATAACTGCAGGGATTCAAATTGCCGATATGGCGGCCGGAGTGGTTCGATTATACGAAGAGAACGGTTTGTTCCACGGCGCTCTTGGTGGGGACTCTTTCCTGAACGCGATACGAAGATACTACAACGTGGTGGAAAGCAAGACACTTGATCATGTAAGCCCGAGCGGCTACCCGAGGCATGGCTTCTATCGTATGCCAGAGCGAGAACATTACGCTACTGTTGCGGAGGACAGACCAGAGGAAACCCCATAAAAGCCAGAGAGCCAGTTGTGACACCCGCTAGGAATCACGTCTGGCTCTATATCAAGAGTATAAAACTTTTCTCAACATGTCAACCTCCCTCAAAGCGTCAACCTCAAAAGGCATAAGTATCAGATGTACGTCCAGGCCGCATTTCAAGAGCCGAACTGGAGGGAACTTTGATGCCACGCTGGGAAACGGGACTTCAAATATTTGGGGTTCTTCTGGCCGTAGCGATCGGGAATCTCCTATTCGGTCCCGGAGATTCGATTCTTGTGTCGGCGTTCTAGGGCGCTATTTATGGGCTAGCAGGTATAGCGGTCGTGAGGGTTCTTATCTGGTTGGTCAGAAAGTTGGTCGAAAACCGGCCAGGCCCCCGCAATGACCATGCTCAATAGGGCTTTATGGATTTCGACACTGAAGTGATGTTCCAAATTCCAACCACCCCAATTGACAATCACTCTTGGGCTTTATATAATTTTTGCGTATCAAGTTGGCTGGTTTAGTGGCCCCGATCATGCGGGGCCTTTTTCTAGTCTAACGATAGTATCTGCCCCTGTGGCGCAATGGTAGCGCAGTCGACTTGTAATCGACAGGTTAGGGGTTCGAGTCCCCTCTGGGGCTCCATAGAATACTATACAAACCCAATGGCACCGGTTTTGCGAAAGCCTGACTCCGCGTTATGGAGCCGGGCGCCGGCAGGGAGGGGTGGGTGAGTGGTTAAAGCCACCAGACTGTAAATCTGGCGTCCGGAAGGACTTCGCAGGTTCGAATCCTGCCCCCTCCACCACCCAAATTGGTAAAAACAAACCAAATCTAATCAAAATTTTGGGGTCACGAGCCCAGATAGCTCAGCGGTAGAGCACGTTCTTGGTAAGAACGGGGTCGGCGGTTCAATCCCGCCTCTGGGCTCCATCAGTCCCCCAGGAAGATAGGAGAGTAGCACTAAAAATGGCCAAGCAGCAGTTCGATCGTACCAAGCCCCACGTAAACGTGGGTACCATCGGTCACGTGGACCACGGCAAGACTACCCTCACCGCCGCCATCACCAAGGTCATGGCCGACAAGGGAATGGCCAGCTTCCGGGATTTCGGCAGCATTGACAATGCGCCGGAAGAGCGCGCCCGGGGCGTGACCATCGCCATAGCCCACGTGGAATACGAGAGCGACTCTCGCCACTATGCTCACGTTGACTGCCCCGGCCACGCCGACTACATCAAGAACATGATTACCGGCGCCGCCCAGATGGATGGCGCGGTTCTCGTGGTCAGCGCTCCCGACGGCCCTATGCCCCAGACTCGTGAGCACATCCTCCTGGCCCGCCAGGTAGAGGTGCCACGCATCCTGGTCGCCTTGAACAAGGTGGACATGATGGACGATGAGGAACTGCTGGAGCTGGTGGAGTTGGAAGTTCGCGAATTGCTCTCCATTTATGACTTCCCCGGGGACGACACTCCCATTGTCCGGGTCAGCGCGCTGAACGCCCTGGACGGCGACCCGGAAGCCATGCAGGGTGTGGCAGAGCTGGTGCAGGCGATGGACGACTACATTCCCGTCCCCGAGCGCCTGACAGACCGCCCCTTCCTGATGCCCATCGAGGATGTCTTCGGCATCAAGGGCCGCGGCACCGTGGTAACCGGCCGGGTAGAGCGCGGTACGCTGAAGCAGGGCGAAGAAATTGAGATCATCCGGTCCGGCGACGTCCGCAAGACGGTGGCCACCGGCCTGGAGATGTTCCACAAGCTGCTGGATACCACCGAGGCTGGCGATGCCGTGGGTATTCTGCTTCGCGGCGTGGACCGGGACGAGGTTGAGCGCGGCCAGGTCGTGGTCCGGCCCGGCACCATGCAGCCCCACCGGTTGGCCGAGGCTGAGGTTTACATTCTCAGCCGCGAGGAAGGCGGGCGACATACCCCCTTCTTCACCGGGTACAAGCCTCAGTTCTACATACGGACCTGCGACATTACCGGCGAAATCAGCCTGCCCGAAGGCGTTGAGATGGTAATGCCCGGAGATAACATTACGATGACCGTTAACCTGATCACCCCCATCGCCCTGGAGGAGCGCCAGCGCTTCGCCATCCGCGAGGGCGGCCGCACCGTGGGTTCCGGGGTGTTCACCAGGCTGTTAGACTAAAGAGGAAAACTTCCTGTCCAATTGGGCGGACGAAAGAAGGTAGAATATGGCTCGAAAAGTCAGCGGATGTTCGCGGTGTAATTACACTCCAGTGCGGCGACTGCCGGGAGCGCAACTACGCCACGGCCAAGAACCGGCGGAACGATACCCAGCGGTTGGAGCTACGTAAGTACTGCTCCCGCTGCCGGGGCCACAAGACGCACCGGGAAGTAAGGTAAAAAGCGATGGCTCGGGCAGGCGCTCAGCAACGCAACCAGTCTCCCATATCGCCCCGCAGCGTGGGTCGGGTCAGCCCGATTCTGTTCCTGCAGGACGTAATATCGGAGCTGCGAAAAGCGGTATGGCCCAGCAAGGAAGAGACGGCACGTCTCACCGCCATAGTTATTGCCTTGTCGGTGGTCGTCGGGTTCTTCCTGGGAGGCCTCGACAGGGTGTTTGCTGAGCTGTTTAACCGAGGTATATTTGCCATTTTCCAGGTGTTTTAGTAATCCCCAGAGGCGGAGGCGGGAGTTGTTCCGGTCGCCTTCTTTCGGGTGAATACTGCTTATCACATGCAAGCCCGCCGCGGTGGCGGGCTTGTAGATTCAATGGCGGAACTCCCCGACAGTAACCTGACGGGAACTCCGCGGGATACAGAGTGGGCCCCAGTTTGAATTAAGCGTGAGGGCTGATGACCACTGAAAGAGATAGCCTGATAGAAGCGGAAGAGATCCAGGAGTTTCGCTGGTATATCGTCCATACCTACTCGGGCCAGGAAGACAGGGTCAAGAAGAATCTGGATTTGCGGATCCAGAGTCTCGATATGCAAGACCGGATTTTCCAGGTCGTCGTGCCCACCGAGGAAGAGGTCGTCTTCAAGGACGGCAAGCGGAAGTCTGAACAACGCAAACTTTTCCCAGGGTACATTCTCGTCCAGATGAACATGGACGACGAGAGTTGGTACGTGGTACGCAACACGCCGGGAGTAACTGGGTTCATATCCAGTGAGGACGATTACGACAAGCGTCCCAAGCCGGTTCCCCTGGAAGATTCCCAAATTGGACTCCATTTTGAAACAATCGGAAGAGGGTCCGGTCCGTATCAAGATTGGCCTGGAAAACGGCGATACGGTACGCATTACGGAAGGCCCATTTATCGACTTTGTGGGCGCCGTTGGCGACGTGGACGAGAGTAAAGGCAAAGTCAGGGTGCTGGTCTCCTTCTTCGGACGGGAAACACCCGTAGAGTTGGACTTTCTGCAGGTTGAACGCGCATAGGCTTAGGAGGACCCGGTGGCAAAAAAGGTCAGAGCAGTTATTAAGTTGCAATTGGAAGCGGGGAAGGCAACGCCCGCGCCGCCAGTGGGCCCAGCCCTGGGTCAGCACGGCGTCAACATCATGGGCTTCGTAAAGGAGTACAACGAGCGGACTTCTCCCCAAGCCGGCACCATTGTTCCGGTGCACTTGACGGTTTATGAAGACCGTTCCTTTACCTTCGTGACCCGTACTCCACCGGCGTCGGACTTGCTAAGGCGAGCCGCCGGCGTGGATAAGGGCGCCAGTGACCCGCGACAGATAACGGCAGGCACGATAAGCCGTGACTCCCTGCGGGAAATCGCTGAAACCAAGTTAAAAGACCTCAATGCCGCATCGGTAGAACAGGCTATGTCCATCATCGAGGGCACTGCCCGCAGCATGGGCATCAGCGTGGAAGGGGATTAGTAAATCATGCCCAAACACAGTAGAAGATACGACGCCGTGGCCGAACGAATTGAGCCGGACAAGCTCTACCAGCCGGAAGAGGCCATTGATCTGCTCAAAGAACTGGCCAATACCAAGTTCGACGAGACCATGGAAATCCACATCCGTACTGGCGCCGACCCACGCCATGCCGACCAGATGGTGCGGGAAGTCGCCGTGCTGCCCCACGGCTTGGGAAAGCAGATTCGGGTGCTGGTTTTTACCAGCGGCGAAGGGGCGGACATTGCACGCCAGGCTGGAGCTGATTATGTGGGTGACGATGACCTGATTGCCCAGATCGAAGGGGGTTGGGTTGACTTTGAAGTCGGACTGGCCACGCCGGAGATTATGCCCAAGATAGGCAAGCTGGGCAGAGTTCTGGGTCGCCGGGGCCTGATGCCCAACCCCAGGACGGGTACCATGGTCCAGCCCCGGGATTTGGGGCGGGTGATCGAAGAGTCCAAGGGCGGCCGCGTGGAGTACCGAACAGACCGGACGGCCATCATTCACTGCTCTTTCGGGAAGGCCAGTTTCGACACAGGGCTGCTGCTGGAAAACTTGGCAGTGCTAATAGATTCAATAGTCAGAGCCCGACCGGCCGCGGTCAAGGGCGTGTTCCTGCGCTCCGCTTATATTACGTCGTCCATGGGACCCAGCATTCCCCTGGAGTTAAGCGCGCTGCAGGCCCTCAGGCCGGATTAGCGCCCAGGCCAGACAGTGACATTCTGCAGGTGGCTTTATTCGCCGACAGGAAGTATAATGGCCACAGCACACTGTCAGATAAACATACAATAAACCTTAACGCTGTAGACCGCCGGTCTCCCACTGGGAGCTAAGGGTTCGTTGAAGCGGACCGCCTGCCGAGGCGCAAATTACCGGTCTGTTCATTAGCAATTGCCGGTTCCCTGCGTCTCAACTGCAGACGTGGGGAATTGTTTTGAGGAGGTAAGCATTTGCCAACAGACGCCAAAATAGAGCGTGTCGCGGACATAAAGGACAAGTTGGAACGCTGTTCCATAGCCCTAACCACCGGTTATTCGGGTATTCCCGTCAATGATATGACCGATTTGCGGCGCCGGATGCGGGATGCCGGAGTAGAGTTCGTTGTAGTCAAGAATACGCTGGCCAACCTGGCCGCCGAGGAAGCCAACGTGCCCCAATTCAGCGAGATAATTGAGGGACCCACGGCAATAGCCTTCGGCTACGACGACCCGGTGGACACCGCTCGCGCAGTGAATGATTACATTCGGGCAACCAGGTCCCCCCTGGCAATCCTTGGTGCAATCATGGGGCCCGGACCCGTCCTGCAACGCACCGAGGTGGAACGGTTGGCGACTTTGCCGTCCAAGCCCCAATTGATAGCGAACCTGCTGGGACAAATGCAGGCGCCCTTATCCAGGTTGCTGGGTGTCCTCAATGGGCCCCTGCAGAATCTGGACGGTCTGCTTCAAGCACGAATTCGCCAGTTGGAAGAGAGTGCATAGCATAGTAAAGTCACCGAAAAGGGCGCAGCAAACAAAAATACTGCAGCCGATCCAGGGGAATTGAGTTCCCCAGCTAAAATGGACCAACAAGACAGACCAACAAGAGCTATAACAGAGGAGGCCCCATGGCAACTAAAGAAGAACTGATGGAAACTATCAAGAGTATGAGCGTTCTGGAACTGGCCGACCTGGTAAAGGCGCTGGAGGATGAGTTTGGAATCTCCGCCGCCGCGCCCGTGGCCGTTGCCGTTGCGCCCGCCGGCGGTGATGCCGGTTCCGCCGTCGTTGAGGATGAGCAAACCGAGTTCGACGTCAGCCTGCAGGAAATCGGCCCCAACAAGATTAACGTCATTAAGGCCGTCCGCGAGATCACTTCCCTGGGCCTGCGGGAAGCCAAGGAACTGGTGGAGTCCGCTCCTGCCCGCGTCAAGGAAGCCATAGCCAAGGACGAAGCCGATGGCATCAAGGCCAAGCTGGAAGAGGCCGGAGCCGTCGCCGAGGTTAAGTAGGCTTCGCCTTTCCGGTTAATCCCAAGCTAAAACAGAACAGTCCAGTTCGGCCCGGGCCGCCGCCAGGGAGGGTGCCATGAGCCGTCGCAAAGACCGGGAAAGATTCCAACGGATAAAGGAGCAAAACCCTGACTACACGGGGTTTCGGGGCGCAGATACGGTTGTTGAAGAGTCCGCTCCGCCACCGGTGCTGGAATCGATAGTTTGCTCGGTCTGCCAGCGGCGGCGGAATGTGCCCGTAGATACCCTGCCGGAGGACCGGGCCGAATACGTGTGCCTCAGGTGCCAGGATGGTTAGCAGTCGAAGCGTTAGTGCATCGCATAACTACTGACAGTTGGGGTAGGACCTCAACACACATTGACGGGTAGAATGCTCTCATAGCTATTGCAAGGGGCCGCGCGGTCCTGAAGCAGTTTTGAAAGAGGGTGAGCCCGAGCAATGCCGGACTATCATGATGATCCCAGGGAAAGCATATGGAGCATCCGCCAGCTTTCCCTTATCCGGTACTACGTAGCTTTCGCAGCCCTGTTTGCACTCTTCACAGGACTGTACCAGTGGAGGGGATTCGCGACCGCGGTGCCGGGTGCACCCTTCGTAGACACCCTGCTAGCCGCACTCAAGGAAGCGTCCGGATTAACTCCCTGGCTTATAATATTCACATACTATCTGGTGGAGGGCTTGACCGTGCTTGCTGAAAGGTATTTGAGGTCACGGTACGCAAAGGGACGCGTAGATGAGCGGCAACAATGGATTGCCTGGAACCAGCGTCGCGAAGAAGCCATGAGAGAAGGCAGAGAGTTTACCGAGCCGCCGCCGGCCTCAGACGGAGACAAAGCAAAATAGTTTCCGGTCAGCGGCAACAGCTAACAGCCCCGATGACCCGCTGTCTAATATCACAGGTCCATCACCGTGCTTGTTGAATTGCATGATATCCAAGCACCCAAAGAGCCGCGACGCTGGTTGGCACGAAGGCTTTTAAGGAGGCTGGAAGGACGGCTTTATCGAAGGTTATCGGGTAGGGAGAGAGGAAGGGCGTCAGCCGCCGGCTGGCCTGGAACCAACGTCGTGATGAAGCTCTGAGAGAGGGGAGAGAATTTACCGAGCCGCCGCCTGGTGAAACCCAGGCAGCTGGTCATTAGGCTTTTTGATCGTTCCCCTTTCCACTCCAGTCGATTACTTCCCCAGGTTCTTTTCCGACGTGGACGTGAGAGCCCGCAATTATCAGACCACCGCCATATCCTCAATAGAGAAGAAGGGCTTGTTCCAGTCGGGGTCGGATTTACCCGTCAGCTTTCGGGTGTGCAGGCGGCAGGCACGGATCCAAAGTTGCAGGATATTGTTGTTGATGATGGCCTGGGGCAGTCGGCGACGGTACTTTAGAAGAATCCACTGGGAATGACCGGTGGCCAGGAACTCCTCCATAAAGGGGGTTGGCTCCGCATCAGCGGCGCAGGCCTCCAGAATTTCGTCGGGTGCCTCGGCGCACAGCATCTCAGGATTCTCCGCCGCAAGGTCGATGTAGTATTCTTCCCGCTCCCTATCCATCGATCGTTATCCCCTTCCTCTTAATAATAACCAACCGCACCCACAGTCTTATGGCACGTAACATCGCTTGAATCGCCTTTGGCATCTGGCGCATACATTGGAAGGCATTTGCCGTAAGATTTGCCATTCTTTTTTAGGGGCCACCGACTAAGTGGATACCTAAGAAACCTCTGGATAAGTTATCGACATTGTAGCGACAGCCGACAGCCCTCAGGGGAGCTTAGGGGCATCAGCTGTAGTGACAGCCGCATTCCCCCTGACCTTCCCCCGTCGCAGGGGAAAGGTACCTGTTCAGAAGGTTCCTGGATTCCGGCCTGCGCCGGAATGACGTAGGGAAACTCTTTCTGCGACCCGAGGTCCTGCCACCGCAGGAACGACGCAACGCCCCAAATTCAGATACGCACGCCTTAGCCGGAGCTTGCCCGTCTATTGCAGCTGCCAAGTCAAAGGGGCGGGTTTGAAGCCGCCCCTCAATTGACTAACCACTTGCTCTGCCTGAGTAAACCGTTGGCAGGTGTTACAGGTTCATCTGGGGAACCATGTAGCCACTGACCTTGTTGTAGACCTGAATCCGGCTGCGCTGGCTGTCCACCACCATTAGCCGACCCTTTGACGCGTCGTAGAGCAGACCGGTGGGGAGGGCAAACCGCCATTCAGATTCCAGGTTCTGAATATTTACTTCCCGGCGGCGCTTCACGTAGTCAGCGTTGGCGTCCACCGTCTGCTTGGCCCACGCGGAAAGCTCCTGGGCGTCGCCAATCAGGGTGATAATAAAGGTGCCCTCGGCGTCGTAGATGTGGACACGGCCCGGGTGCTGCCCGTTGTCGCTCCAGTCAGCGATGTAGACATCACCTTCCGGGTCAACTGCAACGCTGGTGGGAAGGTGAAGTTGTCCCCGACCGGTTCCGGGGCTGCCGAACTGGGCCATCCACCTACCGTCGGCAGTGAACTTCTGGACGCGGTGGTTACGATGGTCGGCCACGTAAATGTTGCCGGCCTGGTCGATGGTGAGGCCCCAGGGGGAGTTGAACTGGCCGTTGCCGGAGCCAAGACCACCCCAGGAAGTTGTAAACTTGCCATCGCTGGTAAATTTGCGGACTTCGTGGCTGCGACCGTCGGACACGTAGATGTTGTCGTCAGCATCTATGGCGATGTTGGCAGTGCCGTGCTCACCACCGTCGTCGTTTTCCAGGGTGCTCCAGCGGTTCAGGAAATTGCCGTCCTTGTCATAGACGGTGATCAGGTTGAGCCATTCGTCGGACACGTAGATCCGGCCCTGGCTGTCGATGGCGATGCCGGATCCCCAGATGAACTCCCCGTTGCCGTCGCCGTACTTGGCGAACTCGCCGAGGAATTCTTCCTGGCCCCATTCGGAGCCTACCGTAATTTGTGAAACCCGAGCGCCATAGCCGATGCGGTTCCAGGCGACATTACTGATACCCTCGCTGCCGCGGTTGACCACGTAAACGAGTTCGCCAGGGCCCTGGGCGACGGCGACAGGCTGGCTGAAGCCCATGCCAGACTGGGCGCCCCGGCCCACTGAATGGCTATAGTCGTAAGTGCGCCCGGCTGCTACTTGCGTAAGCATTGTGCACTCTCCCATTTATTTGTTGCGGCACGTCTGCCCGAATATAAAAACATATCGGCAGACGGCTTCCAGTTATAGTTAAATCGGTCGGGCCCGCAGTTCCCTGGGAACTAACTCGCCCGCTGTTGGGTCCACCATGAGACCAAAAATCTCCAAGGTAGTGGCGCCCAGCAGGTATTGGTCATCCGGCCCGAATATGACAGGACAGGGCCATTCTATATCTTCGATTTTGATGCGGGCTGTACCAATCTCATACTCGACTTCACTGTTGTCGGCAAGGGCGTATTTTCTGGTTTCTATGGGTGTAACGCCAAGCTGGTGAAGCAAGTATGAGGGCATCATTGAGTTAAAAGCACCAGTGTCAACCAAAGCCCACACAGGGGTCACAGACCCGCCATAGTGACGGCCTATGCCTATTTCCACCATGAATATGCCCATATCAGACGGCACCCGATCCAGCTTTACCGTCATCATTGCGGACACCTCTCATTAAGGAGAACTGTTCTCCTGGCGCTGCTGTTTCCAACAAAACCACTGGATTAAACCGCGTCGGGGCACAGTTCAATGTGCCCGAGGCAGTATTCCATAATGCAACTATCAGACTCCCCGACCTAGATGAAAGCTGGCTTTTCGAATACGCCGCCGACCAGCGGTTGCGCATCCAGACCCATCCAGTCTTCCGCGATGGTGGTGTAGATGCTGCGGAAGTCCAGGCTGGGTACCAGGTCGCCCTGCTCCAGATGTTCGGGGCGCAGGGACGGATATTCGCCGTACTCGCCGCCCTTGATGGGGTCGCCAACCATGAAGGCAACGCCGCCGGCACCGTGGTCGGTACCGGAGCCATTGTCATGGACTCGGCGGCCGAACTCAGTGAACATCAGCATGATTACATTGTCCGCGGCGTCGTTCTCCCGCAGGTCGTCGAAGAAGCTCTCCACCGCCTGGGAAACATCGGTCCACAGCTTGTCGTGCATGCCTACCTGGTTGGAGTGGCTGTCGAAGCTGCCGTGGTCGCAATAGAAGACGCGGGTGCCCAGGTTAGCCTGGTGCACCTGGGAGATGCCCTTCAGCTTGCCTGCTATGGTCGTGTCCGGATACTCGACGCTGGAGGAGTAAATCTCGGGGGCGACCTTCAGGATGTCGGCAGCCTTCATGGAGTCGAGACCTGTCTGGCCCAGGTAGTCCATTACGGCGCCGGTGCCGATAGTCGGGGAGTAGAGGCGGGTGAAGCGGTCAAGAATCTTGTCCCGCTGTTCGGCCTCGTTGATGCCGGTCAGCAGACCAAAGGAGTTAATGTCGTCCACGCAGGCAACCGGCACGGTGGGCAGGGCCAGGGCGCGGGGGAGGCTGGGGCCGAAGCTGACGGCGGTTACGACGTTCTCCTTGTTGGGGTCGATTACCTTGGTGGCGCGTCCCAGCCAGCCCTCGGTTCCCAGCTTGTCCGGCTCACAGGTGTGCCAAATGTCCATGGAGCGGAAGTGGGAGCGCGGGGAGTTGGCATAGCCCACGCCGTGGATAATGGCGACCTTGCCCTGGTCGTACATGTTCTTCAAGGGTCCCATGGTGGGGTGCATGCCGACCTTGTCGTTGAGCTTCAGAATCCGCTCATCGGCCACGCCCACTGCGGGACGGTTGTCGCGATAGAGGGAGTCGGTATAGGGAATGACCGTGTTCAGGTAGTCATTGCCGCCGGTAAGCTGCAGAACCACCAGCACGGGGTCTTTCTTGGTAGTGGCCATTGCCATTTCCTCCTGGAAAATTCTCGTTTCTCGTCTTGGCGGGGAATCATGAGCGGCTCTCATCCGGCCATGATTCCCTCATAGGCAATTCTTGATTTTAGGCGTACTGGTAGTCCCGCATGGAGACTATCAGCTGCAACAACTCTGAAACCCGCTGGGTGGACTCGGCCGCGTTGCTCCAGGTCAGGTTGCCGCCGGGGACGGCGTGGTCCAGCAGTTCCTGGCGGGACTCGGCGTTGACTTCCAGAGGGCCCATCAGGTCAAGGCAGGTGTCCACGAACTGCTCCGGGGTGACATCGCCCTGGGTGCGCAGCCGGCTAATCATGGACTGGATGCCGGGGCGGGACACATCACCGACCATGTCGGCGGTGAAGTTAATGCGGCGCATCAGGGAGCCGCTGTTAATCCACTCGGCGCCGGTGTGCCAACCCTCCACGCTGGGGGGATTGAGCAGGTCCTGGCCCATGTAGTTGGGCTGGCGGGAAAGATCGCCAATGCCGGGGGCCGGGAACTGGGAACCACCGACCAGCTTCAGGGTTCCAACCACTACCTCGGCCGGGCTCTTGAGCTTGGCGAAGCGGGCGTTCTTGAAGAAGTCGGAATTGAACAGGACCTTCAGAGTGGCGCGAATATCGTAGCCGGACTCGATGAAAGCGTCGGTCAGGGCGTCGACAGCGTCCTCGTCCACGGGAGGAGTCACGGCCCAGGCGGGAACCTGTGCCTCGTCGGCCACGAAGAAGTTGTAAAGGTGGCGGGCGATGAAGCCGGCGGTGGCCGGGTGCTGGCAGACGATTTCGATGATGTCGTCACCGTTGAAGTTGCCGGTCTCGCCCAGGAAGGTCTTTTCGCCGCCGTCGTGGTCTTCCGGCCGATACGCGAAGCGCCAGTCGTGGCGGCCCAGGGGACCGCGGGGGAGCTTGGCCTCGAAGGTCCAGCCGGTGAAGGCGCGGGAGCACTCGCGGACGTCAACCTCGGTGTAGTTGCCGACGCCCATGCTGAAGAGTTCCAGAAGCTCGCGGCCCCAGTTCTCGTTGACCGCATCGGCGTGGTTGTCGTTGTTGTCCAGCCAGTAGATCATGGCCGGGTTCTTCGCGATGGCGAGGAGCAGCTCCTTGTAGTTGCCCATGCCATTTTCGCGGAACAGGGTGATCATGTTCTGGATTTCGTCGTAGTGATCAACCTTGGAAACGCCGGTGGCGAAGACCTGGTGCCAGAAGAGGGACATCTTCTCTTCCAGGGGCCGTCGGGTGTTGATCATGAACCAGAGCCATTCGGCAGCGCCCATGCCGGGCAGGGTGCCGGGACGCCAGGTCCAGGGCTGGTAGCGCATCATTTCGAAGCGGTCCAGGGGCTCTTCGCTGGGGTTAAGCAGTTCGTCCACCACGGCATCGTAACCCTTCTCGCAGAGAGCTTCGAGCTCGTCGCGGGTGGCGCCAAAACCGGCGCGGCGCATAAGGTGGGCCATCAAGGCTATATCTTGACTCGCCATTGCCTATCCTCCTCCATGGAATTCTTCAATAACCATTGTAGCTTGCGAATGATTATAGTTGGGAGAATTATCGGTTATGGAGGGTTTGGTGTCAATTGGAAGCTAGCTGGGGATGTTTGCAAAACGCCCTCAAATTGGCTGACGCTTCTACTTGCGTTGGCCTACGTAATCTGAGACTCCGAAGGTACCTTCGGGGGGCTCAATGTGGCCTTGGTAAAATGTTCCTGCGAATAAGGGTTTTTCTTTGAGGTGCACATTGGCTACCGCTAGCGTGAGCGTTGAGGTGGCAATAAATGACATCCAAAGGTTACATTGGGAAAATCTGCTGTCGGGATATAGCGTCCATACGTGGCCACATTCAGATGCTATTTTCTTTAATTCATTGATCTTCTTCTCCTTTCTTCTATCCTGCATCCAAGTGTTAATGTCGAAGGTCAAACTTATTTTGATACCAATTACCCCTACCACAGCTGTAGCAAAATAGACGACTATTTTCCACCAAGGGACCAACAAGGTCTCCAGAATCGAGGATTCCATAGTTTCTCCGAGCGTCGTTAAGGAACGCTTTCCATCACTATTAAGAGGCCGCGGTACCAGGTCCCGCCGGGTGTCGCTATATTCTTGCTCCACGATTTTATTCCACACTTCCCCTTTGCCGGAACCATAACCCCTACGCATAAATCTTGAAATCGCTGCGAGGCTCACGTTTTTGGTAGAGTGGAGTTGGACACCATTATGCCCTGTTCTCGCTTTCTTATACCAACACTAATACGCACCGCCATTGTGGTTACTCTGTTTGCGGCGGGGTTGCTGGCCTTACTCACCCATGCCCAGCCGGCCCACGCCTGTTCGTGTGCCAGAAGCGGTTCGCCGTCCGAGGCAATGGAACATGCGGACATGGTGTTCGCGGGCCAAGTGTCTTCAATGGCAGTCCACCGCAAAAGCCCCTTCACTTTCTCCGGAGACGATCCCGTTACCGTGGAGTTCCAAGTCAACCAGGTCTGGAAGGGGCCGCGAAACGACGTTTTGACCGTCCAGACAGAATGGATGGAAATATCCTGCGGCTACGAGTTTGAGGAGGGCGGGAGGTATATTGTCTATGCCCACGAGGGTTGGACGGGTCTCTGCACCCGTACCAAGCCGACCTGGGGGGCCATTGTGGATTTTACGGTACTGGGCGAAGGTTGGAGACCGGGGCAGCCAATCGAACAGCCTGAAGTTACGGCGCCAGGTAGTACCGGCAGGGGAGCAGGTTGCGCCTTACCGGCGAGGGCCGACGTCGGCGCGGTTGACCTTGCGTTTCTGCTTCTGATGGGCATGGTTGCGGGTCTGGTTGTCCGCCGCCCCCCCTACAAATAATGAACGGTAGCCACCCCCTACCCCTGATGTAAAATGGCCCCCTAACCTGACACTTAACTGCAAAGGAGTTTTTCCATGATTGAGGTTTCCTTACAGATATAAAGAATTGCAAGTCTCCAGAAGACGGCCACGTACCGGCAGCAGGCCCTTTGACCGAATAGCTCCAAGAGAGGAAGATGAAGAGGAAGCCACCAACATCCATTCCGCGAACTGGAGGAAGAGAGATGGACATCTACCAGTTGGATTACGTCCTGCACGAACCTGAGGAGAGCGAAGGCTGGATGTACCTGGCGGAGGTCCCGGCTCTCCAGGGGTGCATGGCATGGGGAGATACCCCGGCAGAGACTTTGCAAGAGCTTCAGGATGTGGCCCGCACACTGATTGAACTTCGCAAGGAGAACGGAGAACCCATACCCGAAGAGCTGATTCGATACAGCAGCCCCAAGGGCAGTCTGACAATTACTGCATGACCTACGAGGAACTGCGCAGGAAGCTGGAGAGCCTCGGCTGCAGTTTCCAGCGGCAAGGCAGGGGATCCCACGAAATCTGGCTGAACCCGTCAAACGGGCTGCGAACTCCCATCCCCAGGCACGGGAACAGAGACCTGGCCACCGGAACCCTGCACCGCATCCGCAGAAACCTGGACATATCCAGGTCCGACTTCGACCGGGCATAGCCGCACCTCACGCTCCCTCTCTCCACACCTGTGGAGCAGCCAGCCGCAATGCACCCCCTGTAACAACTGAAAAAGAGAATCCTCAAAAGAGAGGGTTTCTCAACCCTGCTACAAATGGTGCTAGCTAGCCACTCCCCTACCCCTGATGTAAAATGGCCCCCTAACCTGACACTTAACCGCAAAGGAGTTTCCCCATGATTAAGGTTTCCTTCCTTTACGCCAACGAAGAGGGCAAGAATTTTAATATGGACTACTACACGGGCACGCATATGCCCATGGTGCACCAGCGGCTGGACTCGATGGGACTGCTGCGGAGCGAGATTGAGACCGGCGTAAGTTCCGCCGACCCCAACGCTCCGGCGCCCTTTGTCGCCGTGGGCAATCTTTACTTCAACACCACCGACGAGGTCCACGAGGGGTTCAAGACCCACGGTCGGGAGTTGATGGGCGACACGGCCAACTACACCGACATTCGCCCGCAAATCCAGATCAGCGAACTGGTTTAGTTTTCCCACGAATGGGCACGAATGTTCACTAACGGGTTTGTTTGGATTTGGAGTGACCGGCCTCAGGAACGCAGTCTTTGTCCGAATGAAATCGAGTGATAATATTCGTGCCCATTGGTATTTATTCGTGGATAGCGAGAAGAAATGATGAACGCCGCCTTTGACAACCTGGCCCAGCGGTTGGTCAAGGAGCACTGGGACTTTTACCCCACCGCCGGTTCCCGCATTGGCCGCCACGAGTATGACGGGCAACTGCCCGACCTGTCGGCGCACCGGATTACGCGACGCGTTGAGGAACTGAGGCGCGGCCTGGCCCAACTATCGGGACTGGCTGACAACAGGGGGGCGGGCGGCAACGGGAGTGAAGCAGAAGACCGGCTGACCCACCGGCTGCTGGAACTGTTTCTGCGGAGGGAGCTGTTCAACCTGGAGGAGATGCGGCCGCTGGAGAACAATCCCATGCGGCAGGTGGGCTACCTGAACGTGGGCGGCTACGTGAAGCGGGACTACGCTCCGCTGGCGGACCGGCTGCGCAGCGCAACCCAGGCCATGGAGCAGGCGCCTGACTTCCTGCAGATGGTTGATGCGGCCCTGACCGCTGAGGTGAGCCGTCCGGTGCTGGAGATGAGCATCGAGAGCTACCGGGGGATGAGCCGCTTTTACCGGGTGGACCTGGACCAGTCGGGTAGCGGCGTGGGCGACACCGAAACCCTGAGCCGGTTTGACCAGGCGCGGGAACGGGCGGCGCAGGCGTTGGACGGTTTTGTCGTAAAGCTGGAGGGGACGGCTGAACCAACTGCCGGAGGGAACCCAAGGGGACTTTGCCATCGGCTCCCGCCTGTACTCGGACATGCTGGCGTACGGGGAGGGCGTGAATGTACCGCTGAACGACCTGATCACCCTGGGCCAGGCCAACATGGAACGGAACCTGGAACTGCTGGCCGAGGCCACGGCGGCCATAGGGCCCGGGCGCAGCATTCGGGAGATTGTCGGGGAGATTGGCCGGAACCATCCCGCCGCCGTGGAACTGATACCGGAGACCCAGGCCATGCTGGAGGATATCCGGCAGTCGCTGCTGGACTTTGACATCATTTCCCTGCCCTCGGAGGACCGGTGCCAGGTTATTGAGACCCCCACTTACATGCGGTATGCCTTCGCCGCCATGGACAGCCCGGGATCGCTGGAGACCCAGGCCACCGTATCCTTCTACTATGTCACGCCGGTAGAGGATACGTGGACGGCCACCCAGGCAGAGGAGTGGCTGACCAACTTCAACTATGACACCCTGCGCATCGTGTCCATCCACGAGGTGTATCCCGGCCACTTTGTACACCACCTGCACAACAGCTACGGGCGCCCGTTGCCGCTGGTCAACCGGGTGACTTCCTCCTACGCCTTCACCGAGGGCTGGGCGCACTACACGGAAGAAATGATGCTGGAGACAGACTATGCCAAGGGGCAGGCGGCGTTGCTGGTAACGCAGTTGCTGGAGGCCCTGGTGCGGAACTGTCGCTACCTGTGTGCCCTGGGGATGCACACGCAGGGCATGACGGTAGACGAGGCCACCCGGTTCTTTATGGAAAACGCCTATATGGAGGAGCTGCCGGCGCGGCGGGAGGCACTGCGCGGGACGTTTGACCCGGGCTACCTGAACTACACACTGGGCAAGCTGATGATCCTGAAGCTGCGGGATGACTACCGGCGGGAACAGGGTGCGGCATATTCACTGAAGGGCTTCCACGACCGGTTGCTGTCCTATGGGGCGCCGCCGCTGCCGCTGTTGCGGGAGGTTATGCTGGCTGATCCGGGAGATGGGCCGTTGTAGACTGGAGGCGTCCAGAAGGGTTTATCCACGAAGAGAAGGAAGTGAGAGAAATGGCGGAAATATCGGCCACCATTCCGGACGAACTTGTTGAAGCCTTGGACGCAGCCTTGGCGGCAACCAACCAGAGCAGGAATGACCTGATACGGCAAGCCGTGGAAAGCTATCTGGAAGACCTGCAGGATGCGGCCTTGCCGATGGACCGACTGAACGATGAAAACGACAGTTTCCTCGACTGGGAAGAGGTAAAGCGTGACCTGCTCGGTCAGGATTAAGGAATACGCTGCCAAGCGACTAAAATGATTGGATCAACCTCATCCTCTTAGTATTACAACGACAGTTCAATGGGGATATTTCTAGATGCGCGCAAAGCCGACCGGCGCTTGGCATGGGAGAGACTGGATCGCTCGTTGCTATACTGCGTCTGCTTCAGCTACCGCAGCAGTTCAGCCGGCCCGAACCGTTCCCTGGGCAGCATCTCCAGCACCACCCGGTAGACCCCCGTTTACACGGTGGCAGGCTCTGCGGCCTCGTGATCCGGGGCATCTTTTCCCCCCCAAGCCTGCTGCAGGCTCAGCAGGAAGGCTCCGCCCAGCAGGCACAGGGCCACATGATGATGCCAGCCAGACCAGGTACGGGTCTCGTACTCGTCCAGGCCCACGTCGCTCTTTTCCGTCTTAAACTCCGTCGCAATGCGCCACATGGAGCCTCCCACGTATGCCAGGGCCTCCAACGGTGTATCCTCCGGAGCGTTGGACAGGTAGTAGCGGGGTTCGCTGCCATCCAGGTTCCGGCGGTAGACGGCCCAGTGGATTTCTCCGGGCTTCCTTTTGCTGCTGGGCCGCACCCGCTGGGCGCTGAACTGGTAAGTCCGGGGCCCCTGGCTTCCCTCGGCCACCGTGATCTCCTGCCAGGCATCTTCCGGCAATGCGTTGCTGCGCTCCCCCATGGTGCGCCGCTGACCGGCCACCAGCCTGGGCTTGGGAGGGCCGCCCCGTCCCCGGTAGACCAGGGTGGACCGCTCCGGTTCCGCCGGCCACACCGTAAATCCCTCCGGAACGTCCAGGACGTAGCACATCCCCAGGGCCGCCAGCCCCTCCCTGAAGGACGGCGATATCCCGAAGACGTCGTCTGCCGCAACCCAGCCGGCCTGCAGTTGCCCCCGCGCCAAGGCCCGCTCCAGCAACTCCAGGGCCAACGCCGTCTTCGACTGGTAGCCCTGCCTCTCTTGGGGCACACCCGCTGCCGCACAACGGTCTTTGTCGGACGTCCAGCTCTCCGGCAAATACAGTCCCTTGTCCACCAACGCCCGTCCCAGCGGACTGACATAGCCCAGGAACATCCCCGACTGGCAGTTGGCCACCTTGCCCAACCTGCCGCAGTACTGTCTCGCCACTCCCGCCGACTTCCTCCCCTGCTTGGGGAAATCGCTGCCGTCCAGCACCCACACCGCCTCAGGGTGCTCCAGTTTTGGCCCCAGGTATTCCTGCAGCCGCCCTATAACCGCGTCATCGTCCCAGGGAGAGTCGGTGAGAAACCGCTGCATACCCCGGGCGGAGTCAGGGACCGTCTCCGATAGATTCTCGGCGTTGCGCCGCTCCCCGGATTGAACCAGCAGGCCTGCAGATAATGGCCGCTGCGCTCCCGGGTCTCCCTCCGGCCAAACAGCCCAGCAAAGTAGGCGTGAAACTCCTGAAAGTCCTGGTATACCTGCTCGAAAGCTGCCGCATCCACTTCCCTGCCTCACCTGCCCAAGCCTGCCCAAACTTCCCAGTCATCTTTTCATGCCATATGTCGTTGTAATACTAGGTGCTGTCCAGGGATTATCTTCAGGCGGCCATCGGGGGACGGCGCAGGTTGGTGAATGGCGGCAGGTTCAAGAAGCAGTGACAACCAGAGTCAACGGCAACAGGTTAAGTAGAGAGTATGAACTTCAGGTAAAGCAAAGCCGCTAAGTGATACGGGAACATTTTACGAGAACCTTTCAATATTTCCAGGGGCTCTCTGGGTAGGCATGGTTACAGAATATTCCACACCCAGGAAGACTATTCAACGTCCCAATACTTGCAAACAGGCAAGAAGCTAAATGTGCCAAACGGAGGAATATCCAACCTTCCCGGCTACAAGCATGTTAGGTAGCTGGCCTCTAATTGCCCTTCTTGGGAAACCAGCCGACCCAAGGAATGGCCGGTGCCCCCATCCTTGACCCAAGCCGTGCCTCCGGGTAGGATTGTGCTACCAATACGGGATGCTTGGAGGCTACATTTCTATGCCCGCAAACTTTACTGAAGAATTTGTCGAGGTTGGCGGTTCAAAGGTGCAACTGCGCAAGGGAGGCTCCGGCGACCCCCTGCTGGTATTGCACGGCGCCGGCGGCAGTGGCGGCTGGCTGCGCTACCTCGACGCCCTGGCAGAGCGCTTTACCGTCTATCTTCCTTCCCACCCCGGCTTTGACGAATCGGAGCGGCCCGAGTGGATGGAGACCATGAACGACATGGCCTGCTTCTACAACTGGTTCGTGGAGAGCCAGGGTCTGCAGGGTTGCCGCGCCATGGGCTTTTCCATGGGTGGCTGGCTGGCCTCGGAGATGGTAGCGGCGGCGGGACCCGTCTTCAGCAAGCTGATGCTGGTGGGCTCCGTGGGCATCAAGCCCAACGAAGGCGAAATCGCTGACGTTTTCATCATTACCCCCGCCCAGGTTATCGACCTGCTGTTCCACGATCCGTCGCAGGCGCCCGAGTACGATCAGGTCTTCGGCCAGGCGCCCACGCCGGAAATGATGGCAATGCTGGAGCGCAATCGCGAAATGTCGGTGCGCATCTGCTGGAAGCCCTACATGCACGACCTCAGCCTGGCCAACCGTCTGGCCCGGGTCAACATTCCCACCTGCATCGTCTGGGGACGGAACGACAAGCTGGCCCCGGTGGAATGCGGCCACCTGTTCGAACAGGCCATCCCCGGCTCCGACCTCGTAGTCATAGACAACTGCGGCCACTTGCCCCAGATGGAAAAACCCGACGAGTTCCTGCAGGCCGCCAATTCGTTCCTGTAAACAGGAAAGGCAAGAATCAGGAGCTAAGAACTTTAGCTATCAGGGAATCCATTCTTAATTCCTGATTCGCAATTCTTAATTAACCAAGGGGGGCCATCGTGCTGCCACGATTCCGAGTTAACCTGGATGAAGCCATTTCCGTGTCCGGCGACGACCTCAAGGCTACAGTCGCCTCCATTTTCGAGAAGGTGGGTGTGCCGCCGGAGGATGCCGAGGTGGGTGCCGATGTGTTGGTGCTGGCCGACCTTCGGGGCGTTGACAGTCACGGCGTTTCCAACATGCTGCGGAGCTATCTGGGCGGCTACCAGCGGGGCGAAATCAACCCCCGGCCCAACATGAGCATTGTTCGGGAGACCGCCGCCACCGCCAGCGTCGATTCGGATCGGGGATTGGGCACCATCGTAACCCCCAAGGCCATGGAAATCGCCATCCGCAAGGCGAAGGAAGTGGGCGTTGGCATGGTCACCATTGGCAACTCCCGCCACCTGGGCATGGCCTCCTACCACGCCATGCTGGCCCTTGAACACGATATGATTGGCATCTGCATGACCAGCGCGCCGCCCCGCATGGTGCCAACCTTCGGCGCCGAGCCCCGGCTGGGCACCAACCCCATCGCGGTTGCCGTCCCCGCTCGCAACGAGCCGCCTTTCGTATTTGACGCCGCCACCAGCTCAGTGGCCCAGAACAAGATAGAAATTGCCCGCCGCCTGGGCGCCGACCTGGAGCCCGGCTGGCTGGCCACCGAGGACGGCACCCCCATCATGGAGGAAGTGCCCGTCCCCGAGACCTACCACCTGCTGCCCGTGGGCGCAACCCGCGAACTGGGCTCCCACAAGGGCTACGGCCTGGCCTGCGTGGTGGACATCTTCGCCGGAGTGCTCACCGGCTTCGGCTATGGCGCGGTGCCCGGGCGCCCCAACTTCGGCCACTATGTCGCCGCCTACAATATTTCCGGTTTCGACGACCCCGACCACTTCAAGGACGAGATGGACGGCTGGCTCCAGATGATGAAGAGCACCAAGCCGGCCCCGGGCCATGAGCGGGTGCTGGTAGCAGGCCAGCCCGAGGCTGAGATGGAAGCCGTCCGCCGCAAGGACGGTATTCCTCTGCATCCCGAGGTAGTCCAGTTTATGCGCGACACCTGCGCTGAGTTGTCGGTGCGGTGTTTGTTCTAGCGCTTCCGGAACACTCTCTGGCATTTCGAGGTACGCTGAATTTCGATGGCGTACCTCATTTTCATTTATTTAAGCGAGGGAGCCCATGAAAAGCAGCGAAAACCGCATATTGACTACCCATACCGGCAGCCTGCCCAGGCCGGAGGGGTTGGTGACCATGTTGGGCGCAGTGTCGCGGGGCGAGTCGGTGGACGATGATGCTTTCGACGCCGCAGCCCGCGAAGCTACCGCCCAGGTGGTCTCGGCCCAGTTGGCGGCCGGGGTGGACGTTATAAACAACGGTGAACAGTCCCGCGTCAGCTTCTCTACCTACGTCACCCAGCGGATGTCCGGCTTCGGCGGCGCCTGGGACCGGCGCGGCCACCGCGACCAGAACGAATTTCCCTCCATTATCCGTCCCCGCGTGGTCAACTTGACCCGGGGCATTCCCACCTGTGTTGGCCCGCTGGCGTACGAGCGGCTGGACCTGGTGGAGCGAGAGTGTCAGCAGTTCCTGGAAGCCGTCAATGCCGTCAATGGTACTGAAGCCCAGCCGGAAGACCTGTTTATGACCGCCGCCTCGCCCGGTGTTGTTGCCCTGACCCTGGCCAACCGCTACTACGACAGCCACGAGGACTATGTCTTCGCCCTTGCCGACGAATTGCGCAAGGAGTACGAGATAATCGTCTCCCATGGCCTCACATTACAACTGGACTGTCCCGACCTGGCCATGGAGCGGCACATCACGTACCAGGACGAACCCGTATCAGCGTTTCAGGATGTTGTGGCCCTGCATATCCGGGCCATCAACCATGCCATTGCCAACATTCCCCGCGAGCAGGTGCGGCTGCACGCCTGCTGGGGCAACAGCGAAGGCCCCCACGTATACGATGTGCCGCTGGAGGATATCGTTGACCTGCTCTACGAGGCCAATGTAGGCGCGCTGGTGCTGGAAATGGCAAACCCGCGCCACGCCCACGAGCATCGCATCTATCGAGACCACCCGTTTCCAGAAAGGACGCTTCTGGTTGCCGGTGTCATCGACACCAAGACCAACTACGTGGAGCATCCCCGTTTGGTTGCCGACCGATTGCTTCAGGCCGTTGCCGCCACCGGAGGCGACCCTACCCGAGTCCTGGCCGGAACCGACTGTGGCTTCGACACCTCCGCCGGCTCCAACCGGGTAGACCCGGGCATAGTCTGGCTGAAGCTGCGGGCAATGCGAGAAGGGGCGGAGATTGCCAGCCGGGAGTTGTTTTAGGGGCGGTAAGTAAACCGCGGAGAATCCTTCGTATACCCCTTGATATCCCCATTATTCTCACAGGGGTTCGATTCAAGCGGTCGAAATGGAAAAACCATTTACTTGGATACAGCTGATTTTATACACAGCGGTGGGAATCTCTGTGGTTCTTCTCGCGGGCTTGGCATTACTAATCATGAACTTTGTTCAAATGAGGAATGAACGGGTAGAGTGGCCCCCTCTGACCATGTATTACAACCGGGAAACTCGGAGTGAAGGCCAGTCCTTCTTGATCAAGATGCGTCTCGACCATAATTCCCCTGACAGTTGGACCCAGGAAATTATAAAAGGACGTGTATACGACACCCGTTGGGGAAGTTTTGACCAAACCGGCTCATATGACAGGCTCGAAGGCCGGACATTCACCACCTACAGCGCCACAACCGGGCTGTCCGAGACTGAAACCGTACCAGAGGGCACAAGAATGGTAACCGAATGGTCCTCGGTGCCGGTACAAGTCTCCATGTTTGACCATCTGCTCGGGATAATTCCTGAGACAGTTATCACGCAGACACGGGTGTGTTTTCGAGACGACTGCACCGACAACGCCCCCGGCTGGAAATACGTCGTTGGTAGCCAGACGTACATCATCGCCGATGACGCCCGAGGTATTCCCATCCAGAAAAACAACTTCGTAATTGACGAAATCCTGGTGCACGCCGATCAAGTACCCTTGATGCCATAAGGTGCGAGTCAGGGTGATGGTTAGAGTTGCCCTGAACATCGGGCTCTCCCCTGCAATTGGTCGCGCGTTCGCCTCCTTCCGAACATCAAGCAGTAAGTAACAGGAGCTGGCGCCATCTTGTTTTGAAGGACATTCCAGGGGGGCAGGAGCACTGGAGTCTGCATCTTCGTGTACGGCTAGACGAGGTCAAAACTGACAATTAGCCCCAAAACCCGAACACTTGTACTGAATCCGTCGCCTTCTAACCCATAAAGTTAGGGGCCGATTGGCTTGTACGGCAGACATAAATAGGTGTTCTCCACTATTTAAACCCCATAAGACCCCATAAAAAACTTGACAGTTATGGGGGCTGACAGGTATCATGTCACATCCGCGAGACATACCACTCACCCATCAGCATCTCCCGCTGACGGCGGTGAGCATGGATACCAGAGAACTTTTGGCAACTTACCAGTCCCAGGCGGGCGACCTGTTGGCCCAAGCCGAAGCCCTAGAACTTCAAGCCCATGATCTGCGGATCAAACGGGCCACGCTCCTGGAAGCGGCGGACCTGCTGCGGCCCCTGGTCAACGAAGACCCCGAGGACCTGTCCGACGTGATCGCGGATTTCACCCGTTGCGTTAATCATGCCGAACGAATTGTCCGCATCGCACGAGCTGCCCCGCACAAACTCTTAAATACTACCAGGGTCGCCCAGTACCTGCTGGATCACGAGCAGACCAAGGGGAACTTCACGAGCTTGCGCCGGGAGGTTGCCCGGGCCTTTACCACGCACTCTGACGATTTCGAGAAGGTCAGCGCCGGTACCTATCGTTACCGTGGGGATGCCCCAGTAGCAGTTGGAAAGCCGGTGGACGCGACCAGCTAAGCCTGGCGACAGGATTACCGACACATAGACGTAGGAGGTATTGCCGACTGAACAGGACTACAAACTTTTACCACTGAGAGCCAGGGTGCCAAGGGTGACTGTCCCGTAGGCGACCAGTAAAACGGCCTCAGAAGGGACGGCCCTAATGCGATTACCCCATGGCCCCTACACAGACTTACAACAACTCCTGGCTGTCCTGGACGACTCGGCGCTGCTGGAGCGCCTCCAGGGATACCGCCACACTGGACGCCCCGGCTGGTCCCTGCGAGCGCTTTGGAGTTCATACACTTGCGTCCTTCACTTGGACTTGCCCCACACCAACGCGCTGATTCGCCGGTTGAATGATCCCGCACTCCCTCGGCTGTCTGGGGTTCGGCGAGCCGACGGGCTGCCCTGCGGCGCACCTTCAACGCTTCGTCCGCCGCCTGGCCGACCACAACGACCTGCTGGCCCACTGCTTCACTCCCTGACTGACCAATGCGGGAGCTCCTGCCCCGGCTTTGGGGACGAGATAGCTTTGAACGCCACCGCAGTCCGCAGCACTCCAATCCGCCCAAAAAACAAGGTGACACACACTAACTATGGCTTGCCCAGCGACCCCGAAGCACGGTGGTGGCGTCAAGCACTCTGTCAGGTCCAAGAACGTGAGAGTACGGAGTGTCTTTTTTCGCTACAAGGTCCCTATGGTTTGCTGACTCCCACCCATGACCTGCCTATCACCTTCCAGGTCGACCGCTGGGCAACCGAACGACTACTCCCCCTGAGGGCTTCCGTCCGTATGGACCAGTCATTTGCGACCTCGTACGACTGGTTCGCTCCCCAGGTGGCACTGGCTGACCCGAGGTTATGACGGCCAAGACCAACTTTGTGAATATCTTAACTAGTAGTTAGTCCAAGGGAGAACTGTCAGGCATAGCAATAGCAGGAGGCAGTGGGAGCGTTATAAGGTACGCGCGGTGTACGGGTAAGTGGGAAGGTGAGGGGTCCATGGTGCAGAAGAAATAAATGAGGTCAGGCTCTCATCAGAGGAAAAGGTCATCTGCGGAAAGTGGTCCGGTCGGGCCGGAGTTCGGCCCAGGCGATCACCCGGGCACGCATTCTGCTGAAGGTGGATGAGGGCTGGACGGCTGCCCAAGTAGCAACGGCCCTGGACATCTCGGAGCGGACGGTAATACGAGCCAGGAAGCGGTATGCGCAAGAGGGGTTGGAGGAACGCTGCACCGGCGCAACCAGGTCAACCGGTACCGGAAGCTGGACGAACGTGGGGAAGCTCATCTGATTGCCCTGGCCTGCAGCCCAGCGCCCAGGGCCACGACCACTGGACCCTGCGACTTCTGGCGGGAAGACGGTGGAACTGGGTCTGGTGGAGTCTTGTCCCACGAGACGGTGCGGCTACACTTGAAAAAAAACTGCGCTCTCAAGCCCACGTTCTGCACGGGGCAGGCTGTGGCAGAAGCAGCAGTGGTGAGTCACATCCCCAAGGTGAGTCCGCACTACTTCGTGCCCACATGGAGGATGTCTGGACTTGTACGCCGCGCCCTACGATCCCCGCGGCGGCCGGTGTGTCTGCTTCGACCGAGGGCCACGTTCCACCAGTTGCTGCCGATTCCCGTCGTCCCTGCCAGCGGCCCGGGACGCCCCAGCGAGAGGACTACGCAGAGTACGTGAGCGTGCGAAAGCGCAGCATGCACACTGTGTCACGCACCTGCGAGCCCAGGGCTGGCATTGGCGGCACGTGGCTATCACCAGGCCGCGTACAGCATGGACTATCGCCCTTCAGATGCGCTGCTGGTGGACCAAGCCTACCCAGATGCCGTACCGGTGGTCCGCAAGTGGTGCTGGACAATTTGAACACGCAGTCGGACGGCGGCGCTCTATGAGGCTTCCCGCCGTGCGAGGCTCGGCGCATCGCCAGAGCGAACTGGAGTTCACTACACACACACGCCCCAAAGCACGGGAGCTGGCTGAATTGGCGGAGATTGGTTCAGCGTCCTGGCCGGGCACGCCTGCGGGGAACGCTACCCCCCGAACCGGACAGCCTGGAGAGGTCGGTGATGCCAACGTGTCAGAAGCGCAAAACGCGGTGGCATCCCGATCAATTGCGATTTAACCACCCAAAAGGCCAGAACCAAAACTCCCAGGCTATATCCTGACCACTGCTTACTTTG